ACCTCCCTTCAATTCTCCCAGAACATGTGGTTGCTCGAGCGCCACCGCGGGCCTGGCCATTTCCCGGAAGTCCTCCCATTTGCTCGAACGCCACAGCGGGCCCGGCCAATTCCCGCACCTCCAACCATAACGTATCGACCCAACCTCGAAGAGAGCGCCACATGTATCCGTTCACCTGAACGGCGCGTCGCTTCCGACATGTGGGGCTCAAGAGGAAAATCTTTCGGCCTGCGGAAATAGTCTTGCCAGTATGTTATTATGTGTGTGTCTCTCTCTATATCTCTCTTTCTCTCTCTTCCCCCTCCTTTTCTCCCTTTTTCTCTCTTCCTCTCTCTCTCGTTCTCTCCCTCTTCCCCTCCCGTCCCTTTTTGTCATTAATCCGTAGTTTTTCATTCGTTATCCGTAAGGGCTTCGCCCCCTGCCGCCGGCCCCCTCTCTCGGAGAATGGGCCATGGAAGAGCTAAGTCATGAGGCTTTGGCGCTGTCGTGCAGCAGTATCGGAACTTCATGCGAGGCCGATTCGCAATCGGCAAAACCAACTGATCACAAGAGGGGTTACCACACAGGGCGATTGGTAAGACGTGTATGGTTTACGAGCTTGGTTACCACACCTTGGGATTAAAGGGCCGAGGGAGTACTCGCAGTTTGGGTTACCACGCCTTGCGATGGATGTGCGTGAGGGGTGGCACCGAATTTCAGAAATGTGGCAAATCCCATGTGTTTTTGGACCCTGACCCCGCGGATCTGCGTGACGAATTTCAGAAATGTGGCAAATCCCCGGTGTTTTTGGACCCTGACCCCGCGGATCTGCGTGAGGGGTGGCACCGCATTTCAGAAATGTGGCAAATCCCTGTGTTTTTGGACCCTGACCCCGCGGATCTGCGTGAGGGGTGGCACCGAATTTCAGAAATGTGGCAAATCCCTGTGTTTTTGGACCCTGACCCCGCGGATCTGCGTGAGGGGTGGCACCGAATTTCAGAAATGTGGCAAATCCCATGTGTTTTTGGACCCTGACCCCGCGGATCTGCGTGAGGGGTGGCACCGAATTTCAGAAATGTGGCAAATCCCCTGTGTTTTTGGACCCTGACCCCGCGGATCTGCGTGAGGGGTGGCACCGAATTTCAGAAATGTAGCAAATCCCCTGTGTTTTTGGACCCTGACCCCGCGGATGTGCGTGAGGGGTGGCACCGAATTTCAGAAATGTGGCAAATCCCTGTGTTTTTGGACCCTGACCCCGCGGATCTGCGTGAGGGGTGGCACCGAATTTCAGAAATGTGGCAAATCCCTGTGTTTGTGGACCCTGACCCCGCGGATCTGCGTGAGGGTGTCGATTTCGAGCCCCCCCAGCAATTCAGACAACGCGCCCAGGGGGTGCTAAAAATCCCGTTTGGACCTCCCCCCCCCTCGCGCGGTCAATCAACTAGTTACAGTAACCAGCAAGAAGCAGTAATGTAACACTGGAAACTACAAGCTACAACTGGTACTGGAAACTGCGAACCCGTGCCTCGCAGCCTGGTGGCCCCACAAGGGGGCCGGCGGATTTGTTTTGCATATGTCTGTACACGCCGTATACACATTTCTGTGCCCTCTGATCTTCCCCCTATTCCCCACTCCCCCTCCCTCCTTGCCTGCGCTGCTCGCAGCCGATACTATGTATGCGAGCCAATGCTCGGGACCCCGAATTCGATTCGCCTTGCAATTTCGTGGAAACGCTGGGCCTCAGGAGGTCCATGAGTATGGATATTGACCCTAGGGCCGGGAACCGCGATCCTGCGTCGACTGCGAGGTTTCCGACATCCAGCGAGTCGTTTTAGTTAAGTCTGAACAAAGGTGGAAAGATCCGAAGATGGACAACATACCGGGGCACATTTGCTCTCCAATGCAAGACAGCCTATGCGTTCCAATCTATGACTGCGCTTGCGTGGGGGCCCACGTCGGCGGAGGATGCCCTGCCAGCGCTGTTCCTCGCATGGCTTCAGACAACGGGCTAAATGTTGGGCCACAGTTGGAGGCCTCCACCGCGCGCCTTCGGGCGTGGGAGCCTACGAAGTGGCGGCTGGAACAAATCATGGCGTTGCGGACATTCCGGCAGCGTGGCCCGCGCGCGATCAGCAGATCTCCTACGAACGACTGGCGCGCATCGCCTGACGCGCCCCCATGGCAGAGGGTCGAGCCGCGGCCGACTAGGAACTGGGGCCAGACTGGCGAACCCGCTTCGAGGTTGACGCCCGCGCCGCCTACGCCGATTGCGCCGGCGGCCGCGGCGGCCACCCGAGAGTCTGCCGCGCCATGGCATCGCGACTACTAGACAGTGGTGGCAGGCCGGAGCGGCGTCTTCGCGAGCCCCCTGGCGCGCCTGTGCAGCTGACCGCTGGACATCCATGTCGTCCTCTTCGAGCTGGACTGGCTGGCAGACCCAGCGCGGCGGCCGGAGTCAGGGCGCCGGCCGCGAGGACCGCCGCGGCGATCAGTGGCGGCAGAGCGACCGCTCAGGCGGCGGGCATGGGCGAAAGTCTGAGACGATGTCTCGGCCTGGCCTGGGTCCTGAACCGCAGGCGCGCCGAGGTCATTGACAGGTCGGTCGCCTTGCGAGTTGATGTCTGGGCGGCGCGCGCCTCTATTATTATCGGGGGGGGCGTGTCGGGAGGCCCTCGGCTTGCCCCACTGAGCGGTGACAGGAGTGCTCCCTTCCCTGCTGCCTGCGCCGTAGAATGCTTACTGGGGTTGGCGCGGCGGGGGGCCCAAAGTGGCCCTGGGGGAAGGGGCGAAGGCTGTCTGACTCCCTTGGGCCTCGCTGCAGGAAGTTCGGCATGCTCCCACTCTTCTGCTCGGGATGTCACGCTAGGTGCCCGCGGGGGAAGCCATTACTAACGCTCCCCTCGCCTCTTTATACAGCCCTCAACTTCTATCCCTTGCAGAGCGTTGATAGGGCATGGATCCTGCGAAGGGGCTGTCTCCGCAGCTGCGATCAGGCAAAAGCGCGCGCGCTGGCCGGCTGGGCGGGCCCGCCGTGCACGCGCGCATACGGATGCATTATATGTTGCGTAGAGTGGTTCCGCATCACGACTTACTTAGCCATGTTCTCACCGGTTCGGAGTGGGAGGTTGGCTTCTTACGAGCTGTTAGAAAAAGAAGAAGGTCGACAGCCATAACAATCCATCAATACCAATATACGTCTGCCTAACACGACGATGGGTAGGCGAAGCTCTGGTCGGGAATCTTGGGATTCGCGTCCACGTGCTCGCGTGCCCCCCCGGCCCCGTCGAATCGCGAAATCGCGAACTCGTGAGAGGGCATGATAAGCAGAGGTGGCGGAGGAGGGGGAGCAGCAATTGAAGCAGGCGCAATGCAAGCAGAGGGGCTGGGACGAGGAACGCAGGCGCAGGCGGGAGGCTTGCGGGCCGCGCCTTCCGGGCCGCGGTTTCGGGGCGGTGGGGGGGCGGCGGGGAGGTTCGGACGGGGCCGCCCTACCATCCCCTCCTCCTTTTCCTCATCCTCATCCTCCTCCTCTTCCTGCTCCTCCTCCTCCTCCTCCCCCCCCTCCTCTTCCTCCTCCTCCTCCTTCTCCTCCTTCTCCTCCTCCGCCTCTCCCTCCTCCTCCTGCTTCCTCCTCTCTCCTCCTTTTCGTCTTCTTCCGCCTCTCTCCTCCTTCCCGTCTCCTCCTCCTCCCTTCCTCCTCCTCCTCCTCCTCCTCCTCCTCTCCTCTTCGTCCTCCTCCTCCTTCTCGGAAAATCGGAGGAGTCGGAAAGGGGTCTCAGGCGTGTGGCCGGGCTTGCTATCTAAGCACAGTGGGGCAGGGATGGAGAGAGAGGGCGCGTCAGGCCCACGACCAAGTCCTGTCTGGCTCCCCCAGGCCTCCTCAGGAGGGCCGCGACGAACTCTTGAAGGGCGTCTCACAGACATGAACGGACTGGACTCCCCCCCCCTCCTTCTCCTCCCCTCCTCCTCCTCCCCCTCCCTCCTCCTCTCCCTCCTCCTCCTCCTCCTCCTACTCCTCCATCTTCTTCACCCCTTCTCCTCTGTTTCCTCTCCTCCTCCTTCCTCCTCCTCCTCCTCTTCCTCCTCCTCCTCCTCCTTCCTCTCCTCCCCCTCCTCCCCTCCTTTCCTCCTCCTTCTCTTTTCCTCCTTCCTCCTTCCTCCTCATCCTCCTCCTCCTCCTCCTCCTCCCCTCCCCCCCTCCTGCTCCTCCTCTCCTCCTCCTCCTCCTCCACCTCCTCTCTTCCTCCTCCTCCTCCCCCCTCCTCCTCCCCCTTTGCCTTCTCTTCCACCTCCGTTTCTTTTTCCTCTTCCTCCTCCTCCTTCATGTTTTTGTTTTTGTTCCTCCTCTTCCAACCCTCCTCTTCCTTCATTTTTCTCATCCTTCTTTTCTCGAACGGGGTTCGGACGGGCACATATCCGTTCCAGAGCGTTCCGGGATGTTCTCGGAACGTTCCGCGGCGCCCGAGACATCCTCCACATCCGCGATACTTTCGAGATTCTCGATTTATCTTCCCCCGATTTAAACCTCGTGTTGGTTTCGTCTCCCGCCTCGTTCGCACGAGGTCGAGCTACAGGCCGGACCCCACGGAGTGCCTTGCAGATCAAACCGCTCTGGGGTCCCTTCCTCCTAGGCCTGGTCGCCGAGGGGGGAGCGGGTCCTGTGGGAAATGGTTCCAGAAGTTATTTTGCAGTTTCTGGCTCTCGGGGCCCTCCCCGAGCCCTGGGATTTCAGAGAACGACTCCTGGGGGAAGGCCCTGGGGTCCAGGACCCGTTTCACACAGGACCCGTCTCTTTTACGCTGCATGAGGCGCGGGATAAATGAGTGGGTGATCGAGGGTGGTCGGACAGGGGTTCAAGAGGAGCCTTGTGGGCCCCTGAGGTGCACGAAGGACACACCCACCCCTTTTGTTGCCCCCCCCCCCCTTGAAGCAAAGCCCGACCCTCACTCTCCAACCTCTCCCTGCATGTTGTGCGTCGGCCGAGACTTGGCCCGCGCTGTGGCTGGGAGGGGTCGTGGGAGGCGCGCTGCGCCATCGGGTGCGCGTTCTGGGACACCGTGGACAGTTCGCTCGAGCAGGAGGACGCGGGCGCTGGCCTGACGAGTGGCACGGCTTCCTGGGGGGGGGGACAAAGACAGGCGTGACGGTATAGACAAGGCCCTGAAGTGAGGACCTGTTGGGCTCACGTGTTGGTCCGTCCGGTTGAAGAACGAAGGAAGGATGTGGAGGAAGGATTTGGCATGTTTCGAGTCTTCTGTACGTTCGACGTTGTTGTTTTCATCCGCTGCAGCACGTAGTTGTAAATCTTTGGCACGCACACACACACAGCATCCGCTTTCACAAACACACACACACACACACTTCCTTGCTACCTTTCACAGATATGCCCGCTGCTGACATGATTGCGCCAACGCACACACACACACACCAATGAACTCAAGCACTAGCCTTCCGATAGCGACAGATGTAAATGCCTACGCCACCTCCACATCAATCGCAACGAGGCTCGCTGAACAGCAAGCTCCATCACACGACATTCAATACCACATGTTCGCAAGCTACCAGCTTAACCGCGCGCCCCGGATAATAAGGTATACCCTCCTTTGACACCGTATTACCTCCGACGCAGACACTTTTTGTCGGCAGTGGGGGGCGGCGAGGCCGAACTTTTTTATCCCCGGGGCCAAGGTCTCTTTGGCCCGTCTCCACGTCACAACCGAGGGCATCGTTATACCCTACCATTTCTCAGGTTTCGTGCTCCTCCAACCCCTCCAGGAAGGCCCCGCCAGAGCGCCAGGGAGGCGCCGCCAGAGCGAGCAGGGTATCGTTATACACCATACTATTTCTCAGGTGTCGTGCTCCTCCCACCCCTGCAGGGAGGCACCGCCAGAGCGAGCAGGGTGTCGTGATTAGGGGAACTCCGT